CAATTCAACCCATAATATATTTCAAATTTCCACTAATAGTCAAGAAAATGGTAGAAATATTTTCCTACCTTATTAGAATAAAAAAACTTCTAAATCTTTGGAAGTCTTTTTGTTTTGTCAATTTGTTTCTTTTGCCCCCAAATAATACCTGTTAGTGTTGAGTAAAAATTCATGTCCTGTGAATATTAACATCTTCAGCTCTTTTTGCCTTTTATCCTTTGGTTAGGCAAATTTCTTTGCTCTTGAACTGCAATAATTTGTATTTCTTCCTGCTAGGTGTTGTGTTCTTAGTCACAGAGTGCAAATAATAAAACTATAAAGAAAGCTGCTTGGGTTTACAAAAAAGAATTGTAAACTATCCCGCCAAAATTACAGCTGCAAACACTCAGCTTAACTGTCTTGAAAACTCTTACATTTGTTTTCCAAAATGAATAGGGTTTTTTTTTTATTTTTTTGGTTTTTTTAGTATCCCTCAGTGGGGCCAGACCAAAAATCTGAGCAGCAGAACACTGGCTGCCACATCACTCCCCAGATGGCGTGTGGTGTAGTTAATGCCTGAGACTGTGGATAAATTGAAAATGCTCAAGTAAGTGTGACAGTTCATGTTTTGAGAGGAAGGAAGCAAAAGAAAATGTGCTAACTTCATTTACCTCATCGTTCTCCATGAAAATTTGTCTAAGAAAATTCCTCCCCTCAGTGCATTCTGTGGTACACAAGGAAAAAGCCTGAATTCCAGAAAAATGTTTACTTAATACTTTTCTTTCACTTGTTCCTCACTTCCTCTCTCTTTTGGTCTTTGTTTTTTTAAGTCCCCATAGATGGTTTTCCTAGTTTCTTCAATGAATGGAACCTAATCCTTAGCATTTGCTAATTTTTCTGTACTTTTCAGTACTCAAGGAGCACTTAAAAACTATTTCTTTCATCTCAAATCACTTGAAAATATATTTAAAATGGGTAGCTAAATATGCAAATTATGTTAATTTTTTTGGTAGCCAGCCACATTAACCAATTAGAAAGCTGAACTAATTGGAACGGTTATCAGGACAGTTAAAAAGGGAATTGAATGGAATGGTGGTTTGATCCAGTAATTGAAGATCCATTCTGAGTAACTCACTCTGGGAATTCTATCAACAGTATTTGGTTTTTCATATGCCATGCTTTTCATGACTTCAGTTAGCTTGCTGTATAATTAAACTGGTAGGCATTGCGTTCTGTGGCTTCAGCTTAGACATTAGTGCAGCTCATCAAGAGATTGTAAGCCTAGGTGTTATTTATATACATTTACCAATGTTGAGCCATATTAAAAAAAATAAGTTAGATAAGACCCCGCTAAAACCTTAATATCTAAGTTACTGGCATTCTTAGTCATAGCTCCCGAGATTTGGACTGTAATTTGGATCTATTTCATAAATGTTCTTCCCACAGGCAGTTGTTTTGAGACATAATACCACATATCTGAGGACAGTGAGCACCTGATTGTGTGACGTAACTAAGGTGATTACCCAAACCCCTCAGTGTATGTTTGAATTTTTTTTAAAAAAGCAAATTAATTGGCTGGTTCAGCTTGGCCATTATTCACAGTCAGCAAATAGGAAATAATTAAAACATGAGGTTGATATTGATAACCAAATCAAATGAATTCCAAGTTGTAACAGTTTTGTCATTGGCTTAATTTCATGACACACACTCCCTTCCTCATTCACAGTGTGTGTGCTTATTTTTAAAAATTGAAAGTGTATCAGAATTAATTCACAGTTTACAGTTTAGGCAAAAAGCAAAATTATGACAAATTATGCCCAATTTAGAATTTAGACAGAATCATTTAATATCATTGGATATGACTGAGATTGACACAAAACCAGGAACAGGTGTAAGTGACCTCTATAAATAAATATTTTAGGGCTTAATAATAGTAAAATATCTATTTTTGTACAGCCATGTAAAAATGGTCTTTTTGAATGTTGCATTCTGAATTGTCAATTTTGTGGGAGTGTTTATTTTCTCAATTCTGTTTGAAAGAATTGTCCTTGGCCATTTTTTCTTAAAACCTTCAAAATCAATGCATTAAATTGATTTAAAAATTCATTGATTTGAAATCAATGCTTTAGTTGTTTCAGAATTTATACCTATGTCAAGATTATATTACTAAACCCCAGGTAAGTGTACTTTTATTATTAAAGGAAAAGGAGAAATACACTAATTAAATATCAAAATTTATTTATTTACCCTCATTTTATTTTCCAATTATATTGTTCTTCCTGGATACTGTACATGGATTACTGCCCTGTTGACTGCTGACTACTGACTAAATGTAATACTGAGTCTGTTTCATTTGATTTAAATTTCAGTGCTTCTATATTCATTTTTAGAACATTTAAAATTGGTTAAAATTCAGGGACATATCCAGATCAAGAATTTCTTATTTTGTCTTTCATTGACAAATTTAGTTTGCACAAAGGCAGCCTGAAAAATATTTGCTTATGATTAAAACCTTGTGTTTCTATCAAGAGACATTCTTGACATACTGCCAGTACATTTTAATAAATTAATCATCTTATAAGTGCTGTCAGGCATAATGCGTTATGAATGGGTTTTGACTAAGGTGATGTGGAGTTGCTATAATCGGAAGCATGACCAGGAGCTTATAAAGTCCACGAGATCTTGTTGAGGGCCACCGGAATGCAGACTGGCCACCACATGAATTTTCTTCCCTAATCTAGTCATCTCACCGTATTTTGATAGTCTAAAATTGAAGGGAAGACAATAAACAACAAAAATGGACTAACGTGTAATAAAGTAACTTACACATGACTAGCCATGTCACCTGGATGAGTGACATACCCACTCGGAGCCTGCTTTTCTCCTCTGAATAAAAGGGAGCGAGGGACAGGTACCAGAGAACAGTTTTGTGAGGATCTAAATAAGATAATTAATGTAGGGCCTGTAGGAGAATCTGTCCTCAGCCATAATTGATGAATAAATGTGTGAGGGATGGAAGGTGTAAAGGAAGAAAGGATTGGTTGGTTTTGATATCCTCTGTTTGCTACAAAGAAATTTAGCATGCATACACACAAAAACGTTAGCCAAAACACACGGCCGGCTGTGTTCAGAGCTTCGCTCAATCTAAATCTCCCGAAAGCACTTCTTATGAAAACCAAGCGCATTGTTAATGGAATATTTATCTAAGTACCTTATAGTCAGCATGTTAATTTTCATTCTAATTTGTTGCATGTTAGAGCTGAGGATCTGTTTGGGCAAAGAAAGTACTTAGTTCATTGCTCATTTTACAACATATGGAAGCAATTTTCCTATAATAACAAAATCGTTATAGGTTTTTAGTAGCAGCTTTTGGGGCATAGTGTGGGTCATAATTAGTACTTTTTGACACTGATTCTTTGATTAGTAAACAGACTCAATTCTAATATTTTTATAATTTGTTTTGTGAAGTGTTGTTTTCTAGGAATATTTTGAAGCCAAATGTGGAAGCTACTTGTGTCAGGTTGTGTTAAAGCCATCACTTTCTGTAATAGCACTGGTTTCTTCATAGGACACCTGGCTATTTCCCATGTGTTGTCGCCTCTAACTGTTCAACTCTACAACCTGACTCTGCCAGCTTTGCCCTCAGCCCATCCACATTAGATTTTATAATAAAGCTGATCCACCACTTACCCCTCACATGGGAAGACTTAACACAGTTAATTATGAACATTAAAGTCTTTGGCAACACAGGCATTAGAACAGCTGAGCAATGTTGAAATTGGAACTCCAAATCATGACAGTTTGAAAAATAGTGCATCATATTTTACATGGCATGTTCCAGCAAGAATGTTATGACCTTTTCAACTTCCAGGACAGGTTTTTGTTGCTTGTGTCTTTTACAGTATAACTGTGTAATAAGATTTTGTTGACTGCCAGTTTAATATTACCAATTGAAACAAACTTTTCTGTTTTCATCAGTGATGTGTAAGAAAAGAAAAGAAAAAATAAGCAAAAAAAAAAGAGAGAGAGAGGCAGAGAACACTGAAGTTAACTAGTTGCTTCCCCAGATGCTGTAAGGTAGCGTATATCCCCGGTGGTGTACAAGAGTAACTATAGGGATACATGAAGAAAATATTAGAGCTTCTTTTTCATTTTATCTAATACTTTACCTTTCTACTTTTATCTGTTTAGTGTTGTGCATATTAATATAGATATATAATTAGTTGTATATTTGAGGGAAGTGGCTACTGAAAAGCCAATTTTATAAGAGTGCATGATTGAAAAAGTTCAAAGACCAGTCCAGTGGACACTAAGGAGGAGAGACTCACTACACTTTAAGGTCATTTATTACAAGAAAAAACATGTTAAAGAGAAGAAAAAATATTATAGTACATATTTTGTGCTTTTTAAATTCCATTTCTGTATATTAAACTTCATGTTATTTCTGCATTATTGAAGGAACTTAAACTACTTTCATAATTTTATTTATGTCTTTTCATGTTATCCACACTAGTTAATACTTAGTAGATTAACTACAGAAGAACAAAGAGCATGAGTGTTGTGTTTACTGATGTGCTCTTTATTGCTAGGGAATCATTCCTGGAGTGGCTCACACTTAACAGGAATATTTTGTTGGCTGTTTGTACTTTCATCATCATGTTAATCAGCTGTAATTAACTTTGTTGAGATAATTGAGTAATCATTTTAAGAGTTTATGTGTAATATATGAATACTTGAATTGGGCATGTAGAATAAGGTAGTAAAAAGCTTCCACTTGAAAGTGTAATGTGAATTACTTTTGCCTTAGGCTGATCTTGACCAAGAAACCTTTCTTAATGGTCTCTCTTGAAGATGTAATTGACCTTGGCTAGGTCCCAGGTAGAGTGTGTATTACTAACCTTACTCCGTCATGAGATTAGCTCTAATGCGTCAAAACAAAATTTGTGACAGGTACAGCAAAGTTTTAGTAAAGTGTTACGTTAACAGAAATGATATTAATTCAAACTTTATTTTCCTTTTAGTTCACAGGAAGATGAAAGACCTATGTCACCTTTCTATTTGAGGTATTTATTTGATTTTTGTTGGTCTGCTACAGGGAATGGTGGAGGGTGAAGGCTTCTTTGGGTTTGTTTGCCCATTTTAATTCTTTTCAATAGAAAGTTCTACATTGAGTCCAGACTAAGCTTGCTGGAGCCCGTTACCATATTGTTCATACTATATTTTTCTCCTCTTTAAGACATCTTTTTTTAAAAAGTTTAATATCATTGAAAAGACTAAAAATCAATTTTTGTTTTAAATTCAAAAACGCCACGTGGTCATTTTAATTTTTAGAACCGCCTGATGATTAGGCTGTAACGTAAAATAAAAATCTCTATTTTATACCTACATACAGGTGGGGGGGGGGCAGAGTGAGCACAAGGCCCACTTGATGAAGAAGGCTTGGGTTATGTTAGATAATTTTCTCTGTTGTAGTGGAGTAGGAAACTAAGTGTTCAGCAAGCTCATGCAGTCCAGGATTATTTTCTAAAGCTTAAATTATAAAGCCAGACTAACAACTATTAAAGCAGGTAAGTTAACAGAATTCAAAGTAAATGTTAGGCAAGATCACTTCTCTCCAGTGAATGAATGCTTGCTGTACTGATGTGAATTTTCAGTGAACCATCTGACCGAGGTATAACCCAGAACCAAGTTTTCCTTATTGCATTTCTTTCCTTACTACCTACGCACTTCAAAGACTTAGAAAATGTGTTTGAAAATCATATTCCCGTGTAAATTAAAGATGCTGAAGTGTTTTTTTTTTTTTTTATCTTTCCTCAATTTTGAAGTCTACTACTTTTTAAGAGAAATGCCAGGATATGTGATACATAATATGTTTATTAATTTATTTTTGAATCTGGTTTGCTGCAGTAGTCCCAGAGTCAGATTTAAACTATAATTCAACCACCAGTATTTCAGAAATGTATCATAGTACTTCAGGCTCAGCCAAGTAACTGCTTTTCAGTAGTGTTTTTCCCTTTAGTGACTTGCAGCATATTGCATAATGACTTTGTGGCAAGAAAGGGAACATTTGAGGTTTCGGTTTGAGACAGTATGGTGGTCCATTTTCTTCTTTCTGGTTTCCTGCTAACCAAATCAGCATATTATGGTTCCTAGGCTATCTCAGCCATGCAATTACTGTGAACAAATGTGGATGGTGTTGCTGAGTACATAGTGACTCTGGTATTCGTTATATAAATACACAATAATATTATCAAACAAATGATTATTATATATTAATGGAAACTAAGTTTTACACAGTATAGAAGACCATAGCACTGGATCGTGCCAACTAATGAGAACCATTTCTCTGAATGTCTTATTTTTATTACTCTAAGTAATACTAACCTATGTTTTATATAATATTGAATTTTACTTTATTTCGATAATGATTTTAAAAGGCAGATGGGGAAAATTGGTTTATAAGTTTTAAGTCATCAAAGACAGTTAAGTTTTATAGTATAGAAATTTTCATAATTTCCTGGATTATTGTATTTGACTAATAATGTAGTCTTTAAAAAGAAATTCTAGGGGCCGGCCCCATGGCGCACTGCTACAATGCGCCGCTTGGGAGCGTGGTGACGCTCCCGCTGAGGGTTCGGATCCCACATACAGACTGGTTCCCACTCACTGGCTGAGCGAGGTGTGGGAGCAACACTGAGGGTTGCGGTCCCGTTGCCGGTCCCGGTCCGGTACGGGCATGACACTGAGGGTTGCGATCCGTTGCCGGACACGAAAAAAGACAAAAAGGAAAAAAAAAAAAAGAAATTCTATACTTGCAGAATGAAAGTAAAAGAAAATTAATAATATATTACTGAAAACTCGAAGCTTTTTGACCTTTACAGTGTTGAGTCATAAAACTAAAATATGATAAAATTAAGAAAGAAGAATGAGTATGTGCATACTAGTCCACATTTATATTAGAAAAAGGAGAAGTTACCAGCAGGCATTCTTTTCATATGATGGAAATTTAAACTAAGCAGAGCTATTTCTTAAATGCAAAAAGTAGTAATTGTTTAGCCTGAAATTAAAATTTCAAAAGTAATTTCTTCTTCTGAATAACATTAGGTGATAGTCTTAGAAATCACTTAACAATTATGTTGGTACAAACAAGTTAATTTAGCTTTTTTTATTACCCAATTGACATGAATCAGAGAGAATCTACTGGTAAAACATGAACCTTTTTTATTTTTTAAATTATTTATATGGCTGGTTTAAGGTAGACTTTTTAAGGGGCTATTCTAACATACGTATTTAAGTAGAAGAAAGAAAGCATGATTATTAATTATGATTAAGTTCTAGATTTTTTGGACTAGGAACATGACCTATCCACTGATAACTTATAAATTGGTGCACATTTGTTTCACTACTTCTGCTTAGAGCAAATGCATGCTTAAATGGTTTAAATATATTTAAATACATTTCTGTAACTTCCTTGTCTTTCATTCCTTCCTCTCCCACATTATTACTTAGGATTTCTTTGATACAATGCTGAGAAAGGGAGCTATTGCAAAACTCATGAATTTTATAATGATTTATTAACATGATGAAAAACTACTCTTTTAAATTCAAAATAATATTAACTGTGTCTTTGCAAAGCAAAAAATGATTGGTACCTGCAAAATGCTATTGGCCCCGATTAGGAATATTGGCCATTGATTATTATATATTGTGATTTGATACTATTGATTGGTCAGCTTTTTGTCAGGAGGAAGAAAGGTCCAATCAAGATATGAGACACATTTTCTGAGATGGGTACTCATCAGAAGCAGATCCAGCCATGAGCAGCCGGGCAGAGGGAATGGGCATGGACAGCAGTCAGTGGTGGCATATTCAGTTTGGTGGTTAATTCTGAAAGGTCCAGCATGAGGTCGTACAGCAAAACTCAGTGGCTACAAGTCTGGGAGTGGGCAGTCTTCAGGGAGAGTAGATCCGAGCAGACACAAAATAAGAGCAAAGCAGGCCTCCAGTCTCAGAGGAAAAAGAGTGGATGATACATAAAGACACTCAGGTACAGAAGAATACACAAGAATCCAGCTATTGGAGTGGAGACAAGGTGGATTGTGTATAACAACAAGACAGAGTCTGTGTCTAGAGGAGAGGATAGAGATGAAGAGCATGTGAAAAGGCCACAGTGTGCCAGTGGAGGGCCCAGGATCTCACTGTGGCTAGAGGAAGAGGATAGGATGCAAGAACAGGGAACCAGAAAGGCCATTTCAGTCTTTACCTTGCTCCACTTATCATCTAATAGAATTTCAGTTTCTGTGATTTGATATTCTCCTTTAGCAGTCATGGCTGATCCACATTAGTCTATTGTACATTTCAATTGCCTTCAATCCTTTCTATAATAAGGTACAGCTGTTATAAATAGACATGCACTCATATATTTTTATTCCAAATCAAATATCTTCTGTAATAACAGCTCTGTTTTCTCTAATTTCAGTACTTTTGCAACCTAACCTAACTCACCACAGAGCTATTTGTCCTTTTTTGCAAAGGAAAGATATAGTAGCTACAAATCTACACCACAACCATCCCATGTGGCAGTTTATTGCGGTTACTGTAGCTCAAACAGTGGGTGTCATTGTTCCCCAGATGCTCATTAGGGATTACCAGCCCTGTTGAAATGATTAGGGAAATGAAAGGAAAGGACAGGTTATGCCAAACCCTTGGTGAGATTGCAGCAAAGTAAACATGAACCTGCAAACTTAAAGGACATTCTTGGCAAGGTTGCCCATACCCTGGTCTCTTTTATGTTCTAGCTCAGCTTGGCATCAAAGCAACTTGCCATTGGTGTTCTTCTGTGCCATGTTCAGCCTGTTGTCTGCATTCTTTTGCCTGGCATCCGGTCAGATCTGGCTAAGATCTGTTGCTAGTTCTACTTCTATTTGTCTGTCTTCAGTGTCTGCAAGCCTGGGTTTTGATTTCCATGGAAACCAAAGGTCCTTCATCTCCACTCTTTATTTCTCCTCATCTCTACCTGCTCCCACCTCACCTACCCTACTTTCATGTTCTTATAGCTAGGTTCAGATCCCATCCTCATCCCATCCAATCCTTGAATTCCTTCTTCTTCACAGATTCCTGGATTGTACATATAGCCTGTATACCTATAACCTGTGTTTACCTGTGCATTAGCAAAATCCTAAATATGTGCTTCAGGGACTACATACCTGTCCCCGGTCTTATTCATTGGGCTCTAACCAGCTGACCTGGCTTCTGAAAGCTTAGTCCTTGCATACCTAACACCTGTCTTTTAGCAAGGGCACTGGTCTTCCTCTTTTCCTGTTCTCCTGCTCTATCAAAACCCTGGAATTGACCATCTTTTAATTTCAGCCCAAGTTTTAATATGGTGAAAATAAAAACTAAATTACTATTTTAGCAGATTTGTGATTGTTTAGGGTCAGTTTCAGTATTTCTGAATTTTTAATTTTCCTGAAGGAACATCAGATAGATTTATTTCTAAATTAACTATTTGGCATACAAACTCATTCTTTAGTACTCTTTTGATTTTTGATTGCTAGAACCTAGGAACAAACAATATTATGGAAGTCTCTTAACTGCAGAATTTATGTTGAAAAAATTTTAGCTTTGGATAAATTTAAATTAAAATATTACCTGATATTAGAAGGGATCTGGAAATGATGTCATACCACTCCTATCCTGATATGCAGAAAACTTCATTCTAAAGCATTTCTAGATAGCTTTTTGGAAGAATATCTTTCCAAACAACTAGTGCTAGAATTTGTATGTTTGTGATTTTTTTATACTTTATTCGTTTTAATTTTTATTAGTTTGTTTTTCTCCTTAAGAAGCATACTGTGTGTTTTCTAAATTATCATTTTGAAGGAAAAATTCCTCATTATCAGATGGAAGAGTTTAGATTAGTGTAGCACACCAGACATCATATTTGTTTATAAGCCTGTTTCAGGCTACTTACTAATACACAGCATAAACAAGCAGACTGTTTATTTACGTACCTATTTGATTTTTTTGTTATCAAGATGATAAAATCAGATAGGTATTTCAA